TGGGGGCGCCGTGAAGTTAGCCCCCCCATTTTTCAAATGGTGTTTTCTTTACTTTAAATGGCAGAACTCTTTCTAAAATGGTCTGAGAACTCTAGAACTCCTCGGGGGGCATCCAGAACTCTAATCATTTTTTTTATTTTGAAAAATGGGGGGCCAACTTCACAGAGGTAAATATTTTTCTTACACTGCTAGAAGTGATGGTGTGTGACAGTATGATGTATCTTCTTATAAGTAAAGAAATATTAACGCTAAAATATTTATGCAAATATTTATGCAAATATTTATGCAATTATTTATGCAATTATTTATGCAATATCTATTAAAATGCTATTATAATATAAATTGAAATCTGTGTAATATAAAATATGTTCCGTAAATTTACATATAAAAAGTACATCACACATAAATGACATATAAATTATACAGTTGTAACGTTTTATAACTGCGTATGCAATTTTTTCCTGTAAAAAAACCAGAAGAAATCGATGAAATAGCTTGAATATATTTTATTCTAATCTTGTGTACCGCGTATGCGACAAACTTTTTCATATTCAGAGAAAAAATCTCGCGAGCAGAGGAATCCGCAGCATGGAAAATGTTGTTGCAGGTCGATCTGCATGTTCCTATACAGAATACCACCACCCCTAACAACTACATTCCGAAGCGATCTGGTTGAATTCCACGATCGTCAGTGCATTGTCGATGCATCGTGCACTATTCATGCATATATGCCCAACAGGCGTAATCCACTGGGCGTTGTAGTAACGCGCAATTTTTATCGCTACAATTTTCTGCCTTTACTCGCCAAGTGCGTCAATTATTGGTCACGAGCTTTCGTTAGAGCGAGTTTCCTGCATCAGGAAAACAAGAAAACGATTTCTCATATACAGTCCAGTGCAGTATTTGCATTGTCCCTGCAAACATGTTCAACTATTTGCCTTCAAAGTATATTTTAAACTTCAATCTCTCTAACGCAGATTTTTATCAAATAAAAATACGAAGCAAATTGAATTTACAGCTGTCTATTGACGTAATAATAACTATACTTTAAACGATTACTCATCCCCATAACATAATTACACTGCTGTTAAAAAGAAAAAAAACGTATCACTAGAGAATTTAAGTATTTCTAATACGTCCAATTTAAGTTTCAATCTTTAAGCGGTCTCTTACGAAGGGTAATAAAGCGACGAAGGGGATAATTTACTAACTTTAGAACGGTGTGCATTAACTTAGACGTATAGTTTTATGACTCTAAAGAGTAAAGATGGAACGTGAATATATTAATAGCTACCCATGTGAATTCCATTTTACTCCAAGTTTGCAAATTCAGATAGACTTTCAGTTTTAATGCAAATTTCAGATCAAAATTGCCACGCATTAGTAAAATCTTGCGATTTCGTACACGTGAAAGAATAATCAGATTAATTTTACAACTGTCTTCAAATCTTATCTTTCACGTTTAATAAAAAATTTCAATCAATTCGTAACGATTGCTAAAT